CTTATTCCCGACCAGTATTCGCTGCTAGCAGGGACTCTAGTCCCTGTAGTGAGTGGCTTGTCTGGGTCTCAAGGGACCTTTCCCACCCTTGGAAGGACTTACTTGGGCTTTTAATTCCCTACTCACCACTTTTCCCAAGTGTCTGATCTGTCCCAAATCTCAATGTCCAGGAGAGAAGATCCGGCGCCCTCGAATCTTAATAGATCTCTCCCTCTCAGGCTTCTGTTGAGTTCACAGAGAAGTGGGGATCGGTGTTTGGGAAGGGGTATTGCTCAAATCAGGTGGGGTATGTACCTTGCACATTCCGAAGTTCACCAGCCTCCATGTCCAGTGAAATCCAGGGAGCCTCCTGGCTGGCTCTCCAAAACTGTGGGCCAGAAGGCTAGCTAAGTTCATTCACCTGGTGTGAGGCAGCCAATGCCCACACAGAGTCAAGGGAAAGAGAATCTCTTTATTTCTGTACAGAGGCAAATAGAGGCACACATGGGGCTATGCCCAGCAAAAAGCACACGCCCACCCAGTTCAGTGGGCTACATTTTATAGCATTCTCTACAACATTAGATACAACTCACTGGCAAGCATAATCATATCACACTTCCTATGTGGGCTGTCTTGTAGTTGCCATACGGAACGACCAAACCTCCTTATTCTCCATCTTGGGGGTGCATTTAATTAACTATGTGACCTGCCTCTGGGTGTGTTTTTACTCTTCTAATGGTGAACTTGGGTGCTCTTTGTGACCTACATACAAGTCCTTGGCCTACATAAACAAGCAAAACCACTAGATGGGCAGGTGGGAAACTATCTTCCACTTAACTCTTGTGCTAGGCAGAACGAACTTAACCACAGTGTCCTTTGTTTCCTGCTGAAGGAAACAAAGACAGATACCTACATCTGATAATAGCCCTTGGCTAACAGCTTCAGTGCTACGCCCATGAACTAAGTAAAAGCCAGAACATCTGCAGATAGGCTACTTCCAATAGAGAATTCCAACTTCAGGCCTTCAAATGGGATTAAAAAAATATATGATGTAAGTAAGGCATGCATGAGAATAAATGAAATGCTAGGTCTATGGTTCTACACTGAGGAGGAAATAGGACAAGGATTTCTGATGCCCCCTTGGTTTGTTTATTTATTTAATCAATTTGTATAGATGCCCATCTCAACAAGTGACTCTGGGCAGTGAACAATATTAAAATAAAAACAATTACAACAGATACAAAAATCAAAATATATAGCAGCAAAGAAATATCACAATTCCCAATCATTAACACAGCCAGAAGACAGGTCCCTTTACACATTTCGGGCCTTAAGCCCAGGCCCGAGCCCAGGTCCAGAACCAGGTCTTTAGGGCCTTACGAAAGGCTAACAGGGTTGGGGCCATCCTGAACTCCAGAGGGACAATGTTCCATAAAATGTATTTATATATAAAAGCAAAAAGAATGATTTTACATATAAATAAAATGCTAAAGATAGATTAATTTAGGATATAAATATGAATGTAGTTTTGCATTTAGATGATGCCATGTTGTTGATTCAGAACCCAACTCATTTGCAGTGAAGATTGGTTTGTATGAGCAAAAAGTATGGATTTGAAAAGTAATGTATTAAAGGCCAAAGAAGCTGAGCTTGACTGAGTAAAGGAGTGAACAGTGCAAGTTATATATAAATGAAAAACAAAACAAAAACTGGAGAATTTGTGTACTTTGGATGAACAAATTTCAAGAAATTCAAGTGCTGCCACAAAGGTAGTAGGTAATACATAATCTGTTGTGAGAAGCAAATATTTGTCAAAAGAAGGAAAAATCACTATGTATGAGAACCCTTCTGCCTATTTTATTATATGGAAGTGAGAGTTGGGTATGTCAAAAGAAGCATAAAATAAGTTGAATGCAGTGGACATGGATTAGTTAAGATATATGTCAAATAAAATGAGAAATAATAGGGCCACTAACTAATGAGTGCTAAATAATTATGGAAAAGTAAATGACCAGTGCAAAAATTAGTGAGTCAGGGTTGTTTGGTCATACTGAGAATCTGAGGACCAAGAAATTGTGGTTGGTTGGAGAGGAAAGAGGGAGCAAAAAGGCAAAGGTTGTATAGAAAGTGGTATATGAATTGTGGGGAAAAAGAACGGTTTGCAAAGATCAAAAAGTTTGGAGAGATATAATTGGTATTAACTTGACTGAGCTATATACTCTTTTTTTCCCCTCTGATTCATTTCTTTTACATGGTTCGCTATTTATTTTTCCTTCTTAGTACTTTGCATAAGGTTGCTTACCCAAAAATGAAATGGTGAGAGAAGTAAGTATGTATAATTTCTATTTGTTTTTAATGTCATCATTACTGAACTTCATGAAATATATATGATTGGTGACACTGAGTATATCAGTGTTAGAATATTTTATACAAAGCCTTAGTTTAAATAACAAATCAAACAGAATTTGTTCAACTAATCATTGCCTGCTGTTCTCAGCCTCTTACATGTAGCAATAAGAGTAAAATTTTAAGTTAATTCTGTTATAAATTAATTATTTTTATCTTTTATCTTGCTTCTTCTATGTTAATTTTTTCCTACTATTTTGCAGAAGTTATCTGAATTTATATGGTTCCAGTCTAACCAATGATTGAAATTAGTTACTGAAACGGAACTTAATTTTCATCACATGAAACACAATATTACTTTTCCATTCATAAACTATTAATATTGAATCAAATTCTGAACTTACATTCAGTCAGAGCCCTGTAGAATATTTTCTTTTTATTAGGGATGTTTTCCCAAAAATGCACTCACATTTTTTTTTGTCCAAAATGACTTTTGGTTTCAAGATCTGTCATGATTGACTCTCTGTAAAGGAAAGTATCTTGAAGACTGTAGAACCAACACTTTATCCCAAGTAATATAAAATATATACAGCTAGCTTTGCTAATCATATGTAGGACTATGTAAACTTTACTGACCCACCCATTAAATCATTGTTTCAATTAATAATATGTTAAATACCATCTAAGTACCTCCAGGAAATATTTAACTGTAAGAATATTAATATTGCAGCACTGCTATTATATTTGCCATAGTTAAAGAATCACAACTGAGCTGGAATTTGACATGTTAATGAAGTTTTTGTCCTGTTGTCTATATAATCATAGCACTGGAAGAGAGTAGGTGGTCACCAATGACAGCCTTTTGCCTTAAGGCAAGATCCTTTACTTATTATCCAGTTACCCAGTACAGTTATAATAGTTTCATAAACTCTTGGTTCATCTAACCACACTTCTTTGATTGAATGACAAGCAGGAATTTTTGAGGAACTTTAGTAGAGCTGAAATGAAACCTGATAGAATAATTAAAACAACGACTTTGAAATACAGCATGGTAAGACATTATGCGACTCCATCACAAAAGTATGTATTTATTTCCTCTTTAGAAAGTCTTAAGGAAAAAAATATAATTGCATTATTATTATTTGAAGACAAATATTATTATTTAGGTCAGTTTCTCTTTCTTAGCTAACCTACCTCACAGCACAGTCTTTTTGGAAAAAAATATGAGAAGGGAGCACTATCTACACTGTCTCCCTTCACAGCTCCAGGATGATGATGATGATTGTTGATGATGATAACAATAATAAATATTTTGGTGTTCCTCCAAAAGATCTGGTACAGTCTTAAAATTGCTGTATTGTGTTTTTTCATGAAATATAACACTAAACAACAAAGCACACATACAAGAAATGTCAAATTATAATTATGTATCACACCATAGATTTACTCTTCCACTGAAAGATGCTTGCAGAGGCCCATGCTAACACCTGAGCATTAATTGTGAATTGTGCAGGAACTGAATTGTGCAACACCTTCTTGATATTTTGGATTTTTTTCCTTTTATGTTTCTTCATCCATGACTAGGCTCCTGAGTACTGGCATTTTTACAACAAAAACGTAAAATAAACTTTTAAGTAGCGCATCTGACTATTGTATTTCCTTCCTACCTTTGATCTTTCAAATGACATACAGTGTACAAAAAACCACTTATCACAGTTGTTACAGTTTCATATATTGTTAAAAATGTTTCAATTTATTGAACATTCTCCTATCTTGTCCATGTACCTATGGCTGAATTTGAATATGTTCTCTGCATCAATTCACTGTGAACAAACATGAGGAAATAGAGTAATTTCTCCTAAATAATTATTTAAAAATATAATAGATTAATTTTTATGTGTCACAAAAGTTCCCCTCCTCCCTTTCTGGAAGAATCTGAATCTTCTAAAATTACTTGAACATCCCTAATTACTGCCACCTGAAAAGTCCAAAGCAATTCACTATATTAAATTGCACTTTTATAAAACACACACACAAGCTAGCCTTGGTCTGTTATGGCTATTTGACCGTACATTCAAATCAACTTTATTTGAAATAAACTTTATTTGCAAGCCTTGTGTCCTTCCATTAGATGGTTCCAAATAATCAGCTGTGATCCTCTCCCTCCTCCATCAGCTTTTCCAAGCTGGTGGTGGGTAAGAAAGAGGTTAAACCAGCGAAACTTGGCTAAACCGATGAATGGGAAGGAGAGGCGAGCGAAACGAAGGGAGGGACTGACAGGCTGGAAAGAAGGGAGGGAGGGAGGATCGTAGGCTGCGGGTAAGGCTTTGAAAGTCAGCCTCTCAGGCATTGCAGCAGAACCCCGAATCAGGGAGAAAGAAGGAGGACGTTTACACACACAGACGCAGATAGCCTGTGGAGAGGGTGAGGACAGCCGCCTGGAAGACCATTGTGTACTTGTGTGAGTGTAGACATGTATATGTGCGCATTCGTGTTGGCGTTGGAGGCGGTGGCTTCATGAGTTGCTTCGCAGAGCGGCGGGCGCTTCGTCTGGTTTCTCCTCCCCTTCCTTTCCATTAAGCCGCCGCTCGCCGGAGCTCCCCACATTAGAATTAACTGTGAGTTCGCGCCCGCTGGTCACGGGTGGCCTTTGGAGCAAGGGGAG